TTCATCGTTGGTCCATTTCTAGATGGGCTTCTAACCAACCAAAATGTTTTTGCTTTTAAGTACACCCCTCAAGTCCTGGTAAGCATGGAAGAATATCCAAAATCACTTCCTTTCCAGAGTGGGCCTTTTGCTATCTTGTAATCCAACATTACCTTTCTTTTTTGGTTGCAGTTCTTCATCGTACTCTCCTGCTTGATATCAGTCTCTGTAAATTTCAGTACATTTCTGGTAATTGGAAAGACATCTCCAGTCACCTATCAGGTCCTTGGTCACCTAAAAACATGCCTAGTATTGGCCTTTGGCTATGTACTGCTTAAAGACCCGTTTAGCTGGAGGAACATTTTAGGTATCCTTGTTGCTGTAGTTGGGATGGTGCTGTATTCCTACTGTTGCACTTTGGAGACCCAGCAGAAGCCCCAAGAACCATCAGCCAAACAGCCTGAGGTAATTTTCTTACTTCTGCTGTTCTGCGTGCGTGACTTTCTGAGTTTAACTAACCTTTTACCCTGTCTTTGATTTTGGTGCAGGGCAATGAAAATGAATCGGACCCTCTCTTAAATGCGGAAAATGGAAGTGTAATGACAGCCGATGGTGGTGCAATAAAAGCCCCTGCATGGAAGTCAAACAAGGACCTGCACGCATGAAGGCTGCGCCCCTCATGTTCTGCAGCGCGGATATATTCACCCCGAATGTAGAGGGAACCCGTAGACTGAATTGAATCCAGCGATGAAGATGTTGCTGGAGAAAGGGGGTGTCCATGTGTTGATGATGACATAGGAGCAGAGAGCAAGTTGGCAGACCACTCTGAAGATCGTTACTTTATTTTTATCTATGGGTAGACTTTGAAAAGAGTTGGGAAGGAAAATGTGGCTTTGATATAGTAATTTTTTTACTGATTAGTTTTTTGTATGGAATCAGGCAGGGAGCTTGAGAATGAGAATCATGGTGGCAGAATCGGATTCATTAAATCTTATACTGTTAGTTCCTTACGGACTGGATAAATTTCTACAATGTAGTTCTTTCTTGATAAAATGGACTATTCCCTATAAAATGGACTATCCTCCTCGAAGTTTAGGATATTCATCTTCTCTTCCATTGGATTCTTTCTTAGGCAATGCTCCACCTATTGAGATCTCGGAAGGTGACGATTTAATGTCGGATGAGTCTGATGGGGAAGATGGAGATGATGATCCGGATTGTCCTACAATCAGAATCAAGAAACGTACTAACGCTAGGATTGGGAATCTATGGTGTTGGGCCATTACTTTCCAGGTTCTGGGGAAGTCCTTCTTGTTCAACTACATTCACCGAAGAATCCAGAAGATGTGGGCTAAGATTGGAGGGATTAGGGTTGGCGGCATCGGAAATGGCTACTTCCAAGCGACCTTCGATTCCCAACTCGACCATGACCGGGCACTTTATGGAGGTCCGTGGACAATTGAGGATCATTATATTGCTGCGGAGCCCTAGCGAATTGATTTCGACCCTGACTTCGACACCATTGACAGAGCTTCAGTGTGGGTAAGATTGCCACGTCTTCCCTTAGCCTACTTTGATGAAGAGATTCTGAGAGATATCGGGGATAAGCTGGGGAGAGTGGAAAAGATTGATTATAACACGGCAAACGGGTTTAGAGAGAACTACGCACGCATCTGCGTGGAGATTGATATGAGGAAGAGACTCATTTCCAAGTACAGGATTAAGAGAAGAGTTAGGAGAGTGGAGTATGAAGGGTTACATACAGTGTGTTTTCTGTGTGGCCATTATGGACATGTTGAGGAGAACTACTCCCTTGGGTCGACCTCAAGTCAATTGACACCTGAGGAGAAGCTTAAGGAGGGAGATAAAGCCAGATCCAAACAGGAAATCAGACCAGAGATATTGGAGGACTTTGGTCCTTGGATGTTGGCTACAAGACCCAAAAGAAAGACGAATCAAAAAAGGGTACAGAAGGAAGGAACTGAAACCAATAGCAAGGGAGGTGAGGGGGTGACTATGGGTTCAGGGTCCATATTTGAGGTACTCGTCTCGGAGAGTACTGTCGATAAAGAAAAGGAGGAAAGCAATGAAGAGGAGACTCATGTGGAGATGATGATTGACGACTCAGGGGAGAATTTGAAACAATCTGAAGGTATCCCGGAGAAGATCCCCAAAGAAAATACGAAGGAGGGGAAAAAGAAATTAAAAAAACCAATAGAAAGTAAATTGCCGAAGAATCAGAATGAGAGTATGCTGAAGTCTAGCCACATGAATAAGAAGGAGCCCCAGAAACCTACCTCTACAAGCTCCAAACAGCCCCAACAAGAATGAAACTAAAGGGAAAACCTCGTCTATTCCGACAAAGCCTACTTCCTCCTCCAATCCTCCTCCTAAGGGCTCTGCTCTTGGTAAGGGGAACCTTGACAAGTCCCATGGAGGCAGCAGCTCTAGTCTCAACTCACCAAAGCCTTCCAAACAAGGAAAGGCAAGTAGTGTGGAGGGGAATAAGAAAGCTGCTCTTTTCTCTACTCCCAAGCCTGGTACCCCTCTAGGTCGAGCCCCTTGGCGAAAGAGAAACCTCCCGACTTCCTGGAGCCGAAGAAGTTGGATTTTGATCCCTGTTGTGAGGAGGGAAAGATTGAGTTGGAAAGTACTCGTATGCTCACATTCGATTCTGCTCTAGCAAATGGAGCAGCTACGGATGAGACGCCGATGTCCTCTCTTGGAACTGCAGGGGTGCAAAACACCCCAAGTTCAAGTCGACGTTTGAGTTGTATAAAAAGAAACATTCCCCTAAGGTTGCTTGTATCTTGGAACCTCGCATCAGTGGTACGAAGACAGAGGAAGTTATCAACTCCCTTGGTTTTGATTCGTCTGAAGTCTCTGATGCAGTAGGTTTCAAAGGTGGCATTTGGATGCTTTGGGATAGTAGCTCTATCCAGCTCACCTATAAGGATAAGAGTAACCAATTCATCCACATGTCTGCTTCTTGTGATGGGAGGGAGATAGGGTATATTTCTGCTGTCTATGCCAGCCCGAATGACCACGGGAGAAATGGTTTGTGGAACTCGATCAGAAACATTGCTAGAAGCATGGATCAGCCATAGGTGACTTTAACTCCATCACGTGCCCTTCTGAGAAGCAAGATGGCGCAAACTTCAACCCTGCAAAAGTGACTGCTTTCACTGACTGCATTAGAGACTATGGACTTGTAGATATTGGGTTTATTGGACCAAAATTTACCTGGTCAACAAACTCGGGGCTCAAAGAACGGCTTGACAGAGGTCTTTATAATGTGGAGTGGATTCACAAGTTTCCGGACACTGTGAACCTTCACCTTACCAAGATCAAGTCGGATCACCGACCAATTCTTGTTTGCAATGGTAGACATCAACAGAAAACCCGCCTGGTGAGGAGATTTCATTTTCTTGCCCCATGGCTGGCACATGATGATTTCCTTAATGTTGTTTCTTCCAATTGGAACTACAGCTCTAGTTTCTTGCCTTGTTTGCAGGTACTAACCGAGAGGCTCCAAGCGTGGAACAAAAAGGTGTTTTGGAACATTTTCATCAGGAAAAGGAAGATTTTAAAATGACTTGACATGCTTGAGAAGATTAATGAAAGAACACCCTCCAACCTGTCCCACCAACAAGAAAGAAGTACTAGGGAGGAGTTGGAGCACACTTTGTGGCAAGAAGAACTGCTCTGGCGACAAAAGTCAAGGGCGAACTGGGTGCTGTTTGGAGATAGTAACACCAGGTTCTTCCATACAAGCACACTAACGAGGAGAAGAAGAAACATAATTACCAAGTTAAAGAATGATGATGGCTGCTGGGTGCCTGATCCGGATGAACTTCTCCCCCTTTCAAGAGAATTTTATGTCAAGTTGTTCACGAAGGAGGAAAGGGACCATAGAGTGATCATTGCTGCGGACTTCCCATTGGTTGAGGCTACAAAACTTGCTCGAGTGCGAACTCCTCCACTGCTTGTTGAAATCAGAGACATTGTGATGAAGATGGGGGGAATGAAAGCCCCAGGACCTGACGGTTATCATGCTATTTTCTTTCAGAAACTGTGGGATGTTATGGGGACTGACTTTTCTAACTTTGTTGCTTCTTGTTTCAGGTGTCCTTAGCGCATTAGCAATGTCAACTCTACTGCTCTTGCTTTGATTCCCAAAACTGACTCCCCTGTGTCTATGGCTCAATTTAGACCGATTAGTTTGCGTAATGTGGGGGGTATAAAGCGATTGCTAAATGCATTGCTGATAGACTTAAAAGTCTCATGCCCCATCTTATACATCCTAATCAAAATAGTTTTGTACCAAAAAGGCATATCACTGAAAATATTTTGATTTTGCAGGAGACGGTCCATATGATGTCCCTAAAGTCAAGGAGGAAAGATCTTATGATCCTCAATATTGACCTTGCCAAAGCTTACGACCAGATCGATTGGGATTTTCTTGAAGAAACATTGCTTTCTGTCCACCTCCCTCCTGATTGTGTCCGTCTTATCATGAGGTGTGTTATGACCACTGAGCTGAGTGTTCTTTGGAATGGAGGCACTACTGAAGGGTTCAAACCAAGCCGTGGTCTTCGTTAGGGATGTCCCCTTTCTCCCTACCTCTTTACTCTATGCATTGAACGGCTCTGCCATTGCATTCGTAGGGAAGTTAGTGATAAGAATTGGAAACTGATTTTTCTGTCTAGGGGGGGGGGGGACCCTTTCACATTTGCTTTTCGCTGATTATTTGGTTCTGTTTAGTGAGGCCACCATCCCCCAGGCTGACCTGATTATGAAGTGCCTTGATTTCTTTTGTTATGCTTCGGGGGAGGCTATTAGTAAAGATAAGTGTAGAGTCTTCTTCTCTAGGAATGTGTCTTGTAAGCGTCGCAAGGAAATCTGTTCTAGACTCGGTATACAATCTACTAAGGACCTTGGTAGATATCTTGGAGTATCAGTGTTGCATGGCAGATTGACACGGGATACTTATAAATACATTCTTGAGAAAATGGATTCTAAATTGACTGCCTGGAAAGCTAAAACCCTGTCACTTGCAGGCAGGGTTACTCTTGTTATGTCTGTTCTCAACTCCATCCCCTCTTATGCAATGCAAACAACCCCCCTTCCTTTATCTGTGTGCGATGAGATCGATAGGAAAATTAGGGGCTTTGTTTGGGGTTCGTCTCTGGGGAAAAGAAAGAGTCACCTCTTGTCTTGGGATAAGATCTGTAAACCCAAAGATCAAGGGGGTCTGGGTCTTAAAAAGGCTAGAAGACTTAATATGGCCTACATGGTTAAGATTTCTTGGCAAATGCTTAACAACGAAAAAGACCTGTGGGTGAAAGTGCTTCAAGGAAAGTACTTTAATCATCGAGATGGCCAAATCATCTCTATGAAAAAGTAACTTTTCGAATCTTTGGAGGGCGGTGGTTAAAGCTATGCCTATTATGAAAAGTGCTACGGTTTGGAGTGTGAGGAATGGCAATACCACTGCCTTCTGGTCCCATCCTTGGACTGATTATGATGTGCTGCTCTCTGACTTTCTTATTGTTGATGAGTCCTTGGTTGATCTGAACTCACCTGTCTCTTGTTGGGTTACCCCCTCGGGTGGGTGGGATTGGGAAAAGTTGTTCTGCTTAATTCACCCTGATGGGTTGTCTTTGCTTGCTGGGATGGAGCCACCAAAACCTGACCTGGGCGAGGATACCTCCATCTGGGGAATTGAACGAGATGGGAGCTTCAGTTTCAAGTTGGCCTACTACCTGGTGAATGAAGACCTGGAGTCTGAAGCGGACAGCAGCTGGAAACTCTTCTGGAAGTGGAGGGGTCCCAACCGCATCAAACTGTTCCTCTGGCTCGCACGTCATGAAAGGCTAATGACCAATGTGAAGAGAGCTAAAATGAAGATTCCTCCCAGCAACAACTGTGGCCACTGTTTGGTGAATGAGGAGACTACATAGCACATCCTCGGAACATGTCCTAAAGCTACTGGAATTTGGAGTAAGCTCAAGGATACCCTCCTGGATGCAAGCTCTGACTCCCCTTTTCAATTATGGATCCTCACCAACCTGATGAATGACGAGAAAGGAATCCGATTCGGGATAATTTGTTGGAATCTCTGGAAACAGAGAAACGAGGAAGCTATTGAAGGGAAGACGTTCTCTCAGGATGGCTTTCTCCATCGAGTGAAGCTTGGATCAACATTGTTAACCAAGCCTATGTCAGTGATAAGAGAAGCTCCCCTGGCGCTAATCAAGAGAGAATTACCAGGGATGTGGCGTGGAAACCACCTCCGGAAGGATGGGTCCAGGTTCAAACCGATGGATCAATCCTGACGGATTCTGGGCAGGCCGCGGCGGGGGGAATCATTCGGGATCATCTGAGGAGATGCTTGAACTCCTTCGTCTGCAATCTTGGTTCCTGTACGATCACGAATGCGGAGTTAAATGGAGCTGCTGAAGGTTTGTCCCTCGCTTGGAAGTCTCGGTTCAGGAAGGTGCTGCTTAACCTAGACTCTTCCACGGCCATCTCCATCATAAAAAATAGCAAGGACAGTAACCATCGTCGTGGTTTGCTTGCTCAAGACATTAATAGGCTTCTGAATTTTGAATGGGAAGTTAGAATCTCCCATGTTTTTAGGGAATGCAATCATGTTGCTGATTTCCTTGCAAGGAAGGGTCACCTTTCTCCTTTTGGCACACATCCATTCGATGAGTGCGACCCTGAGTTTAGATACTGGTTGTCGTACGTTATTATGGGGACTACGCAGTCCCTTTCTTTTATTAATATGAGTTGAGACGCTTTTGCGTCTGTCTTCCTACCAAAAAAAAAAAAAATCCTAAACTCACTCAAGTTTGAGCAGAAAGTTGTGAGTTTAATTCTTAGCTTCAAAATGTGAAGCTCTTGAATGTTTTAAGAAGTTTTAAGTACAAGTTTAAAATAAAAGTGGAAACAACATTGTTTTGTTTGTGTTAGAATTGATAAAGGAGCGAATTCCTGTTGAAAGAATTCCAACATTTGTGTGACGAGGGTGGTATCAGGAGAAAACTTACATTTACTCTTACTCCTCAGCAAATGGTGTTGATGAGAATCCACTTAATCTCAACCACTCAACCTTATTAAAATTCAATGACTTAAATTAATTCAATTTAATGAAGGACAATTTAGTAATTACATATTTAATTTTTAATTTTTAATTATAAAATGAATAAAAAATTCTGCCAGTGTCCCGTCTCCGTCTCCCATGCGCCACCCAGTCACAACGTCCTATCCTCGTCGCTTGCGCCGGCCAGTCAAGTTTCCCGGCGACAGTTATGTCCCTTGCCTTTTCTGGGGAACATCTTCCTTTCCTGGGAATTTTTCCAGCAGGAGAGAGAGATGATTTTTTCGTCATCGGTGAATTTTTCAGCGGCGGCGGAGAGAATTTCTGGCAAACATTGTCTGTTTTGTCATGTTTTTCGAACGATTTTGTAATGCTTGTAAGTATATTTTGTAATTTTGTATCAATTCGGTTTGTATATTTTATTATTCTAATTTGTCATTTTTATCTATTATGTTTGTAATGTTTATATGACAAATTTGTAATATTTGTTTTTCTAGTTTGTATACTTTATGTTATGATTTGTATACTTTGTATTCATTTATTTGTAATACAAGTTTACTGATTTGTATCGTAGGTAGTGACATTTTGTATTGTTAGTATGTTTTGTAATGTTTATTGATTTGTTTTGTAAATTTTGTTATTTTTTTTAATGTTTGTAGGGTTCTTTTGTAATGTTTGTAAGCTTTGTTATTATTGTCCAACATGTTTGTCATTTTTGTCAACCATGTTTGTAATATTTTTTCGGGCAATGTCTATTTTTTACCTAAACCTTTTCAAAATTCTTTTATTTTACCCAAATCTATCAAAATTCTATTTATTATCCAAACTTATTGTAACTGATCAAAGTCTGGGCATTCGTTCTGTTACCGTTACTTATTTCTTAACGGAACTCCACGTCAGCATACACGTCTGAAATTAATAGAATAAAAAATCATAAAAAATTTGAAACTACAAATAAAATAATAAAAAATATCAATTATTTATTTTTGTTCCTTTACTCTCTCTGCCTCTCGACTCTCTTTTTCCCGATCCTCTTCCTCTCTCTACCTTCCCTTTTCCTTCCTCTTCTTCCAGAAATCGAAAAAGCACGATCTGGATCCTGGCCAAGCCAAATCAAGCATAGAAGCGTCGATCTAGATCTCTTCGAAGATTAAGCTCTAGCGATGCTAGTTTTGGTAGCGATGGCGGTTTCGCAGCGAGGGCTTGAGGGTTCTGAGCGCCGTTCTAGATCTAGTCGAAGACGAAGCTCCAACGACGGCGGGTTTCGCGGTGATGGTGTCGACGACGGGTTTGGCAGCGAGGGCTTGAGGTCGACGTCTTCATCTGCTCCTCGTCTTCTCTTCTCATCAATCTGGAATCGCAAAAGGCGCTGCCATTAGCTTCACCGATGTCTCCCTTCTTGTATCCTCGATCCAATTCAGGCTCATCCTCATCCGAGCATTTCGATTCTGACCTAGACAGATCATTACCGTAATCTTCGCTGTCGTATCCCCCGTCGGAAGTTGATTTCTCGTCGTCACTGTTGCTTCTCGTTTCAGCGCCGTCCAGATGCGCTTTTGGAATCATTTGCACCAAGTTTTGGAATTTTTGGGTCCCTTTTTGGAGGGGAGGGCAATCCTAGAAGCAGGGTTTTTTTGTCGATGGGTAATTTGGGGCTTATGGTAGCCGCAATGATGTGGCATAATTTTTATGTTTTCCCTAAAATAATAAATGGTTTTTAGAGAATAATGTGGCATAATAAAAAAATTAATTTATTGCCACATCGGCACTTTTTTTCCCCGCTCCGTTTTAACTAACGGAACTGTTAATGGAAACTTAACGTTAGGATAATAAATAGAATTTTGATAGGTTTGGGTAAAATAAAAGAATTTTGAAAAGGTTTGGGTAAAAAATAGACATTGCCCTATTTTTTATGCCTAAAAAACAATCTAATTGGCTTTGTAATGTTTGTTTGTCTAGTTTGTAAAGGTTGGCATTATAGTTTGTAATGGTTATCAATCTGCTTTATAATATTTATAGGGTTGATTTGTAAACATCATAATTTGTAATGAAAAGATAGTGACAAAGTACCCAAAGTATACTAAGAGTACAAAATATGAGTACTAACAATACAAAGCGGCATGACTTGCATCACAAATCAATACATATAAAGTATACAAATTAATATTACAAAACATACAAACTACACTGACATTATGTACAAAAATACTAATAATACAAACCGACAACACTATCATTACAAATAATTGTTCTCCCCTAAAACGTCAAAATACAGAGATCCATCGCCTTCGAATCTCTCTCCACTGCCGCTGCCGAAGCCTACTCTCTCTCTCTCCATCGTTGCGCCGCCTGTCTCTCTGCCACTGCCTCTCTCTCCTCCACCATCATCTCTCTCTCTCCTCTGATTTCCCGACGACGACGCCAGATCTACTTTTCTCTCTCCAACGTTGTCGCCTCTGTCGCGATCTTTTTTCTCTCTCTTCATCGCCATCGAGGTCTCCTTTCTCTCTCTCCATTGTCGTCGCCACCCCCTCTCTTCCACCGTCGTCGTAGTTCTCTCCCCATGACTGTTTTTCTCTCTCTCCCATGGCCTACGCTGGCAACGCATAAAAAAGAAGGTTGGAGAAAAAAACAAATAAAATTAAATGAATTTTTTTATAATTCCAGAATTGCCCCTCCCACTATTTAATTATCCCTTACCTAAATTTCACTATTAGATCAATCCATCTAGATCCAAGGGCTAGTAGGGATTTAGTCAACTGACTAAGCACCCTCCTTAATCACCAGATCCTCCCTTAGTGATGACTACTCGGAGGATTATAATGCTAAGAGGAGTTGGAAGAGTCAGGTATAGCAAACCTTAGATGAAAAAGCATTATAATGATTGGTACCAATTTTTTTTCAAATATGTCCAAAATGAATATCATTGTGATCAAATGAATCCGTTGCAAAAATATTTAAATTTTGGGTTATAAAAAATAAAAGAAAACACGACCCAATTTAAAAAGTAAAAAACATTTTAATCTCCCTTTAGATATCATATCATATGACCCTACCGAACATCAAGAGGTCGTTTGCATGAGTCATTTGTAAAACGAGTTATTGGTCAAATGTAGGCATTTGAGAAATGTAGACATTTGGGAAATGTAGACATTTGGGAGTCGTTTGCATGAGTCATTTGTAAAACGAGTCATTTACTCAAATGTAGGCATTTGAGAAATGTAAACATTTGGAAATATAGATATTACAAGTGCATTGTTTGTTTAAAAGTTTTTATATGAGTCATTTTTAAATGAGGTATTCGTATAAAGTTATCATTTTGCCCTTACATTTAATATGTTTCATTATATTATTTCCTCTTCTAATAAAACCAACCAGGTAAACAAAATTATTTTGAAATCAACAAAACAAACTCTTTGGGTGTTTGTCATGTATAATTATACATGCTACTTTCTAATTTTAAATAATAATTCTATGTTAACTTTCTTTATAAAAGATAACGCCTACATAACTCTCGAATTTTAAACTAATTACAAATGATGGTGTTTGTAACAAAAAAGATGGGCCCCCTACGTAGATGACCCTCTTCGTTGCTTGTGTAATTTGGGAGAAAGTGAAAAAATAATTTTGAGAGAGGACAAAGCAATGACATAGAAAACAAATAATAGAAAGAGAAAGATATAAGTGAGTTTACATAAAATAGGTAAAGACATAGTTGCAATATTTGGACTAAATGATGAGTCATTTGGGACTTTAAATGGACGAAATGACTCATGCATTTTTTCTTTAGCAAACGAGTCCTTTGACATCAAATGACTCAAATAAATCATTTGGTACCAAATGATTCGTATAACTGGCTCAAACAAACGACCCCTTAAAAATCCAAATTTATTTTTGTACTTGTACAGTACCAAATGACTCATACAAATGATTCAAGCAAACCACCCCAAGACTCCAAATTTACTCAGACCTATGTTGGATCTTCATGTCCTGAGGCCATTTCGGGCCCATGCTTTACCGGGAGGCGGGAGCCCATGAGCCAATGACCAGCTATTTATTATTTATTTATTTATTTTGGGTGGAATGCTTGAGCTTTTCCGTTCAACTATAATTTGTTTCGACTTTCGAGTGCCCTGTAAACCCTAAACGAAGGAAGCAGTGAACCCGGTGATAAGTTCCCCGTCGGCGACCATGGTAACCTCATTCGGTGTCACCGATTCTCTCCCTCTGTTCTAGCATCCGCCTTCAAGGCAGCTAATTCCCTCTTCTTCGTCTTTGATCGCAGACTTTCAAGCGCAGAAATGGAGGACGTAACAAGCACGGCCGTGGCCATGTCAACTTCGTCCGCTGCTCTAATTGCGGCAAGTGTTGTCCTAAGGTAAACCCGTACGCCGCCGATCTGTTAATTTTGGATGTCTCCCGTCAGTTTGTTTCTGAATCCAATTTTCTTTTGGTCGGCTGCAGGACAAGGCGATTAAGAGGTTTTTGGTGAGAAACATTGTAGAGCAAGCTGCGGTGAGGGACATTCAAGAGGCTTGTGTTTTTGACGGTACTGCTTTATCTCTCCCTGCCTTCCACGACTGTTCTTTTGTTCCTCGCTTGCTTGTTAGGGTTCTGATTGATCCCTCTTTTGTGTATTCTGGAAATGTGAAGGCTATGTTCTCCCTAAGCTGTACGTGAAGATGCAATACTGTGTTTCCTGTGCAATCCACTCCAGGGTTGTCAGGGTTCGATCCCGCGAGGATCGAAGGAAGCGCGAGCCCCCTCAGCGGTTCACCAGGCGCAAGGTCTGGTTCTCTTCCTTCCCAAATGCTATTCACTATACCCTTGTTTCCGCACAAGTTTATGTTTTGGATTCCATTCTCGGTTAGCTCTAGCGATTTGAATTCGGGAGATGACAAGTGTTAGTTTCGAACCTCTATAGTAAATCTTGATGCCCTTAGTTAATTCTTGCACTTCTATGAGTCTGAGCATAGACTACGAGGATGTATATTCAAAAAAGAGTTTCAATGGGTACTGCTTTCCTGTTTGCATGATTTCACCTATCTAGTTCTCACTGGAGTTCACTGCCTGGCAAATGTCACGGAAAAAGGAAACCGCTTTAAGAAAGCTTGAGGTTCTCTCAGCACTAATGTTAACTTATGTTTGTTGTTGATTTTATCTCTTGCTGCTCTGAACCTGAAACTTGCTTGTGGTTAGTGTTTTTTTGATAGAAAGCTTGTGGTTGGTCTGTTGCAATTTGAAGCATGCTCCCTTCCCCACACCTTGCATCCACGTTCAGTAAAAAGAGTATTGACCTACGGATTTTGCTTGCTGCAGGAGGATCAGCAAAGGCCTGGAGGCCCTGGTCAAGCTCCCCGTACTGGAGCACCGGTTGCTGCTCGCACGTAAGAAGCAAAGGGTTCTGTTCTCTTCCGGTGGCTCTCAGTGCAGATGTAGAGAGCTTTCAATGCTTCATAGTTTAGGCAGCCCTTAGTTTTCCCTCTTATGACTCATGACAGCCAGTTGGATCGGTCTTCGAGTCCCTGCACGTTTTGATGGTCATATACCCCTCATAAGATAGTTATATGTTTGTTGAACTGGTTCGTAATCAGTTCTGCTGTGTTTTGTTGTTAGAAATCTCGTTGTGACTGCATATTTTGTTGAGGCGGCATTCTAAATTGAGATTCTATTCTGCGGTGAACAATATTTGCAAGCAATAAAAGAAGAAAGAGCAGGGACGGGACAATATATATAGTCCGAGTCGGAAAAGGAAATCCTAGTCCTAGCTGCCAACGGATCCGAGTGTAGAAAAGAAAACGCCGACCCCCCTCCCTATAAAAAGGAAGTTTCACATCAGAGTTCTCTCCCTCGTCAAATTAGAAAGTAAGCCATCCTTCTGTGTCCTAGCTCCTTTACGTTTTCATTCTCCGGCACTGCAGTCTGCAAGCTCTTCTGTCGCCACCATTGATACTCCTCCAAACAAACAGTAAATCAGATAATGTCGACGGTGGCGGAATCAACCTGGGCAGAAACAGTAGGTCATGAGTCGCGTAGAGATACCACCGCCAGCAACGGCGTTAACAACCAAGACAACTACGAGATATTCGTTTCTCTCCTCCCAGCCGGCGGGCCTCCCAAATCTCTCTCCAGTGACTCCACATCCTCCCAAATACTGTTCAACACCCAGGTTGATCGCATCTACACCACGACGTCAGCGAAATCGTCCTCCTCGTCGACATTGCCCAGGCAGATAATGGTGGAATCTCGCCGGTCCAAGTTCGGAATCCCTGCCGACGACTCGTTTGGTACCGAGTCTTTGTCCAAGAAGATGGTTTCGAGGTTGAACATCCCCTTCCCGTTGGAGAAGAACATCTACTGGAGATCATTACCGTCCTCATGGATCAAAGTGGAGGGCAGCGCAGAGTTGAACTCCCACATCGTTAGAACCGTGGGTCGCATCATGACCGGAATGAAACGTGGTCATGAAGGGAAGAATGTAGAGGTGAAGCTGGTGTTGAATATTGCAAAGAAGATCAGAGTTGGAGAGGCAGAGTATCAACAGATATGCAGGGCCCAACAAGAGGGTCATGCCATGGATGACCTGGAGAAGTTTCTAATCAAATGCCAGGATCATCACGCAGCTTCTACGACTTCACGAGGAGGAGGAGGATTTGAGAGAATGTCAGTGGATGAACTGAAGCATGTGGCCGAGGAGCACGTGATGAGAGTTAACAGTGGCGTGCTGATTTCTGCGTCGGATCGAGTCTCGATCATCGATGCAGTGGCTCGGAGAGCTTCCCGCGAGTGGGGACGAGCACTGGTTTCCAAGCTCAGCAACGCTCTGGTGAAAGTGGAGACATCGCCAACTCCAAGTAGTGGTGGAGAGTGCAGCATCTGCTTAGCTCCCAAAGCGAATTCAGTGGTGCGGTTGCCTAGTTGTGTGCACACTTTCCACAGGGACTGCCTTCTTCAATGGCTCATCCACCACACACCCAACTGCCCTTTATGTCGCTCCTCTCCTTTGCCATCTTTCTACCGTCCTTGAGATTTGTTCATGTTACTGATTGAAATGTAATAATATAGGACTGCTACTGAGTTGATAAATGGTGGATGACAGTGTTCAAAGGATGATGTTGTTCATAATAAAAAATTTAATTTTTTGAAGAAGCGTTTTGGTGATTTAAAAATAGTTAGAAATAGCGCGATTATATGTAAAATCTTTTTGGTAAAACATTAAAGTGTAAGCTTTAAATTTTTAAACGTGATTTCGACTAATCTTAAAGCGTACGATGGTCTTAATTCATTGTAAAAAAGTAAGAAATCCGGAGTTAGCATCCCATAAATGGTTAGGAAGACTTGAGTTGTGTCATACTTACCGTCTGGTTAGACAATTACCTAACTACTCCACTTGGTATAACTTTTTGGCAAAATTTATTTGTATAACCAAAATTTTGACGTTTGTGACAATAATAGCCACTTTTGGGGAAATACCGATAATAGTCAGAATTTTGAAAGTTTGATGACAAATTTAGCCATTTTTCGTTACATAATTTAACAGCGTTAGTGACACCGTCAATCAAATTAACGGAAAGCTTACGTGGCTGCCAACACACCCTCTCTTTCGTTTACACCTCAGCATTCAGTGACCAGGTGGATGACACATCATTTACAAAAGTAATTTTCTTCAACCCTACCTAAATCTTCAAAAAAAAAAAAAAAAAAGATAAAAAGACTCATCTCCTCGTCTCCCCAATCTCATCTGCTCGTCTTCCCACCTCTCTCCATTTCTTCCTCTTAGCTCCGGCGAAATCCCCGACGGCGACTTCATTCAATCCACCATCAGCTTGGCTTAAATAGCTCTTGGTGCTATCAGGAGCGAGACGCCGCAAATAGCAGAGCAATCCGCCCAACTTCATCGTCGCATCAAACCCGCCATCGTCGCATCTCCCATCCCTTCCGCCGCGTCGTCAAGATCTACTTTTCAAGACGCAGGACTAGGCGGAGGGTTTCGATCCGAAGAATGGAACTTAGTAAGAGACAAGGCTAAAATCGACTAGCCAAGCCTTTTACCTCCATCCGTGCCGCTTTTGTTCTTAAAATCCCCAAATCTCCATGTAGTGGTTATTCCTTTGTTCTTTCCTCTGCCTGTTGTGGTCTATAAATTACCTCCACTTGTGATGCCATTTGTCATTAATGGTTTCCGCAATTCTTCTTCTCAAAATCCCCAAATGTCCATCTGTGCGGCTTATATTCTTAAATCCCCAAATCTCCATCTGCGCCGCTTATGTTCTTACAATCCCAAATCTCCATGTCGTCGATCCCAATCCCAAAAGTCGAGTGCCAAATCCCTATGTTAGCGAACTAACCACTTAGCCCCAATAACTCGAGTTGTTGGGAAATGGATAGTTAAACCTTTTAACCTCTTATACGTCCCCTCAAACGAAAGCCGATGCCGAATTGTGGATTTTTTTACGGTTTGCACAGGTTGAACCCTTGTGCTGCCAAACCACGAGGCTTTAGTTTGCACAGGTTGGACATACCATCCCTTGTGCTAAACAAATGGCTGAAAATGGGGTCGTTATGAGGATTCAAAACCACGACCTTTCGGTTCTAGGCCCTGATACCATGTTAGCGAACTAACCACTTGGCCCCAATAACTCGAGTTGTTGGGAAAGGGATAGTTAAGCCTTTTAACCTCTTATACCCTAGTCGCAGAACCAAATCGCGTAATCCACTTCTGTTCGACGACGGTTGGTGCTGTGAGGTTCCCATTTTCGGTTATTCTGGGTTGTTTTGGGCTTTTCAGTGCCATTCCTGATCTCCTTCTTCCCACTTCGTCGTAGTAGGAGATGGAAAATTCCTACGAATCTCGGTTTGTCCAGCGTATGGTTGCTGCATACGCGGTCCTCAGAGCAAGGATTCGAAGGCGAAAGATGAGGCGGAGGGGTAGGACGAGGCAGTGGAGGAGCGGAATCGAAAGATGCGGCGGCGGCTCTGGTGGTGTTGGAGCTTTCGACCAGAGATGTTTTTTGTTTTATTGATTTATTTATTCTTTTCATAAATCAAAAAGACCCAACCATTTGAAAATTTTAAATTTTAAGTATTAGTATTTTACTTTATTAAATCCACGTGGGAAATACATACCGCACAAAACCCGCCAGATCGGACGATCCGTTAGTCCAGTCAGCAAGTTAACTCACACCGTCAAAGAATTGGACGAAAGTGGCTACTTTTGGTATTTTTCCAAAAGTGGCTATATATGGCCAAACCGTTAAAGTTTTGACTATACAAGTGTATATTGCCTAACTTTTTAACGCAAACTAGGAAGTAAAAAGTAAAAACGTAACATTATGCGTGTACATCCAAAAAAGATCCAATAAAGTAAAATAGGGAGACGAGAGTAAAAAGGGAAACATAGTTAAAAACATACTATAAGATCTTAGTGCTCATTCCCAAGGTCAATCGGCCTTCTCTGATTGAGCAGTACCGCCCCATCAGCCTATGCAATGTAACCTATAAGATATTGACTAAGTGTCTGGCGGAGCGACTGAAATTGTGGATGCCGAGACTGGTGGATGAAACCCAAACTAGCTTTGTTCCGGGCCGCCATATCACTGACAACGTTTGTATTTTGCAGGAAGTGGTGCACTCTATGAGAGCGAAGAAGGGGCGCAAGGGCTGGATGGTTATTAAAATTGACTTAGCAAAAGCGTACGACCGCATCAAATGGGCCGTTGTGCAGGATACGCTGGAGGCGGCAGGGTTACCGGGAGAGTTCATTGCCCTAGCCATGCAGTGCATCTCCTCCTCCAGCATGCAAATTCAGTGGAACGGTGGGCTAACTGACAGTTTCTCTCCCTCGAGAGGTCTCCGTCAAGGCTGCCCGCTCTCACCGTATCTGTTCACCCTTTGCATGGAGCGACTCAGTCACCTAGTGAAGGCTGCGGTGAACGAAGGCGAGTGGAGAACCATCCGGATCTCGGCCAATGGGCCAGCTCTCTCACACCTGTTTTTTGCAGATGACCTGATTTTGTTTGGCGAGTCATCCATGCAGCAGGTATCAACTATCATGCAGTGTTTGGATGTCTTCAGTGCAGCCTCAGGTCAGCAAGTCAGCAAGCCGAAGTCACGAGTATTCTTTTCGAAGAACGTTACAGCAGAGCAAGGGGCGGCAATCTCCTCTGCCTTGGGGATACCAGAAACGAAAAACTTGGGACGTTATCTCGGTGTCCCAGTTATTCATGATCGGATTTCGAAGGCTACCTTCATCGACCTTATTGATAGAGTGGATCCCCGCCTTGCAGGCTGGAAAACCAAGTCTCTTTCTCTGGCGGGACGCATTACCCTAGCTCAGGCAGTGCTCTCTTCACTGCCATCGTACATCATGCAAACTACCTTCCTTCCGACGAGTGTGAGGGACTATATTGACAAGAAAATCAGAGCATTTATCTGGGGAAGCTCGGAGGAAGGCAAGAAGATACATTTGGTTGACTGGGAAACTATTTGTCGGCCTAAAGAGGAAGGAGGCTTGGGACTTCGCAGTGCCACCAGAATTAATGAAGCCTTCATGATTAAATTAGCTTGGAGGTTGCTGGCGGAGCCGGAGAGTCTGTGGGCTAGCATTGTTAGGGCGAAGTATCTACGACGCACAGAGGAGGGATGGCAACCGAGGTCTCAAGGTCGCATGTCCAACCTGTGGCGGGGTGTGCTTCGTGTCCTCCACCTGCTCCCAGACGCAGTTATGTGGAATATTAAGAGTGGCAGGTACACACGCTTTTGGACTGATAGATGGCTTCAAGATGGCCCGGTGTTGGCGGATTTGGCGACTAATCTTCCGCAAGAAGCGCTCTCTCTGACGGTAGCTGATCTGGTCCTCAACGGCGAATGGAACATATCTTACCTTCGTGTCTTTTTGCAGGAGGACATTGTCCGCACCATCCAGCTACACCCGGTGCCTCACGAAGAAGGAGAAGATGTAGCGGTTTGGCGGCTTACCCCGGATGGATGCTTCTCGTTGAAAACGGCCTATACGATGACGGCGGTGGAGGAGAACCCGGTTGGCTCGCATCCCATGTGGAAAACATTGTGGCGTACTCCTGCAACGCAACGCATTCGAGCCTTCTTTTGGCTGGTAGCCCACCAGCGCCTGCTCACCAACTATAAAAGGCGGAGGAGGCACCTGACGTCAGAGGCGGGCTGCCGCATATGTGGTGGGGATGAGGAGACGACTCTGCATGTCATTCGAGACTTTCCCTACGCACGGGCTGCCTGGGCGGATTTCCTTCAAGAGGAGCCAGACGAGACGTTCTTTCAGCCTGACTTGAACAGGTGGATTCTTCACTATTTGGCTGGTCGGAGTTTGAGTGTAACACCGACTCGCTTCGCCGTGATGTGCTGGTCGCTGTGGAAAAACAGGAACAAGTTTGTTTTTGAGAAGGAGTTAGCTTCGATAAGCTCCTTACCTTGTAGAGTGGTGTTGTTGGAGAAGCAGATCGAGGAGGCGGCCATGAAGTCAGCGCTTGTGTTCATCGGTGGTGCTACCCCGTCGCAGCGGCTGATCGCTTGGAAGGCCCCTCCGCGGGGCTGGGCATGTCTCAACTCGGATGGGTCGGTGGTGGGTGGAAATGCACAGCGGGCGGGGTCATTCGGAGGGAAGATGGGCGTACGCTGAGAGCTTTCACCGACAACCTGGGAGAAGGGTCAATTACCAGAGCGGAACTGGCGGGAATTGCTTTCGGACTGAAAGCAGCATGGGATATGGGACTTCGACAGGTGCAGGTCCAGACTGATTCGCATACTGCTATTCAACTTATTGGGGGAGCAGGAGAACGACACCCCCACTTGGCATTAGTCTCTGAAGTGAGACGACTCTTAGCTCTTGATTGGCAGGTGGAAGTAATTCATGTGTTCCGGGAGGGCAACGTTGTAGCTGACTACTTAGCGTCTCTTGGTCACGGCCGGCCTCCGGGGTTACATGTTGTTGATACCCATTGTCCGTTCCTGAACTACTGGCTTTTGTTCGATTGTATGGGAGTTTCCACTCCCCGTCTCGTTCGTAATGAATAACGGTTGGGGTGCCCGTTAGCACTCCGTTTCCTACCAAAAAAAAAACCTACTATAACATGTTCACTTTAAATTTAATTTTAGTCCATGTACATTTTGCTCTCATTTTTTTTATACTATATATGGGTCCATGAATGGTTGCATAAATAGATATGGACCCTTAATTTTAAGAAAGACCAGATCCAAAGG